CAGGGTCTGATCTAACTTTTTTTTTTTTTTTTTTTTTTTTTTTTTGTATTGGAATCAAACTCTGGACCTTGCACTTGTGAGGCAGGCAGCGGAACCACTAAATCCCCAGCCCTGAGTTCAAACTTTTGATCCTTCTGCCTCAGCCTCCCAGAGTGCTGGCATAACAAGTGTGCACCATTGCTCCTGGCTTAGGACATATATATTTTTTAAAAAAATTGTATTTAGATAAATAGGTTTAACTTTCACTTGTAACTTGTATGAAGTCAAAAGAGTATGGCTTTCTAGGACCTGTCCCAACAGGACAATTAGGGGGTGGTGGATTGGCACAGCAGGAGCAGCAAGAAGCTGCCAGCAAGGAGCTTCTAAGAGCTGAGAGTTGCCAGTGGTGGCAGATCTGGGTCTGAAGTGGAGAAGTGAGGACAGAGCTGGTCAGGGCCAAGGACCAGTGCTGAGAAGCAGAGGTGGAACCTGACCCCAATCGAGGAGCAGGGGACAAGCAGGGTATAGAGACAGAAGTGGAGGAGGTGAGCACAGGTGACATCATGGGAGACAGTTACAGCTTCCAACAGCTCAGTTGTATCACACATAGGCTTGTCACCAGGCCACCTAGGTTTGAGGAAGTGGAAGTGAAAGCAGGGTCTAAGACAAGGCAGGGTTGTAGGCAGGTGGGTTTAGGCCTCTAGCCATACCTATTTTTCCCAAAATATGGAGACATAGAATAACTACGGCAAAGTTAGGAGGTTGTGTGACTGACCTCATCCCGATCGCTCCTCTTTCATTTATGCCACGGAACCTAGTGTCCCTCTGAACTAAGATTTCAGGATCATTTCTGCCACCTCCAAAGCTCGGGGGTACTGTGACCTGTGTGTCATCCAGCCATTGTTAGGGTTCAGACCACATAGAAGGCGTCAAGCTGGAATAGAGGAAAACCTGCACCAGATCCCTTAAGATCCTGACCACAGGCAGGCACCACAGGCTCCCCTGGTTTATAGATGTGGTCATCTCTGGAGCTGGTCTTAGACCTCAGCTTCTCTGAATGGCCCTTTCTGCTTCCTGGGCTTGAGTTGTAAGGGAACTTCTGTTTCCTGAGCTGCTATCAGGCCCGGGGCTAGCAGTTTATAGTTACCTCAGTTGAATGTTTCGCTAGCTTTCCATCATGTATTACTACCTTAGTTTATGGTGAGGGCATTGATGTGGTTAAGCCTTGGCCATCCTGGAATAGCCTGATTTTCCCCCAGAGACTGAAGGCACTTGTGGAGTTGACTGTGGAACCCAGTTCTTGCCCTGCTAGTCCTTATTCAGCCTAAGCCAGGAGCCCAACGTAAAGCTTGTGTCCTGGCTTTTCCAGGGACATCTAGTGATGCCTCATTTCCACCAGGAGCAGATGCCCCAGTTGTGTCCTCATGGATTCTCTGCAGTTGGGGTTCCAGAGCTCCTGTGAGAAAACTGAGGTCAGGCCCAGCCTCTGTCAGAATAGCAGGCCCTGGACATGGTCATACCCTTGGGAAGAGAGCTCAATCTGGCTGGCTCCCCTTAGGTTCTGGCAATCTAACAGAGAATCTCTTCTGCTCACCTTTGTCCCTGCTCACGAGCTCACAGCCCAGTTGCTTCTGGACTGGGTGGGCTGTAAGAGGGCTGCCCCATAAGCCTCTGGAAGAAGGGCAGGTGGGTGAAGCGTGTGCAGGGACAAGGCCCATGCTGACACTCTGCTGTCCAGACAGAATGCCATTGCTTGTCGTTCAGAGATCAGTTCATAGGAAGAGCCATCTTTCTCACCTCTCCTCAGACTGGATCCACAGAAGATGTCCTAATTTACAACTGACTCCCTCTCCAGCCATCTCTGTGCAAGAACAATTGCACCAAAAACCCTGGGAGCAAGGGATTTAGCTCAGAGGTTCCGCCACCTGCCTCACCTCGCAAGCTCAAGGGCCTGAGTTTGGTCCCCACTACCAAAAGAAAAAAAAAAAAATCCCTGGGAGTCTAAGAAGAGCTACACTCTGCTGAGATACCAGCACAGAGGGGGACATCTTAAATTTGCCATTCTCACTTC